TGGACAGATTCTTGATCTATGGGGAATGGGAAGAAAAATTCCCGGATGTTGTTCAGACGGTATTAGAAAGGGTTACCTCTGATCATGTTCCTTTAGTTTTGGATTGTGGGGGCTTGTGTTCTCGAAGAACCCCATTCCGTTTTGAGAATATGCGGCTAAGAGCGGAGGACTTCCAAGGGAAAGTTCGATCTTAGTGGGAGGGAGCGATCGTTACAGGTGCGCCCAGCTTCATATTAACACAGAAATTAAGAGCTCTCAAACTCGCTCTTAAGCAGTGGAACAAGGATTTTTTGGGAACCTTGAATGGAGGAAGAATAGAGTCTTTGCTGAATTTTCTGAGATTGATCGATCGACTTGAGGAGGCGGGCGGGAATGTGGAGTCTCTTTGTACTGGGAGAGCTTCCTAACAGGTAGTTCTTGCTGAGATTGCTAGTATAGAGGAGATTTCGTGGTGATAAAAATCCAGGACTCTTTGGTTGAAAGAGGGAAATCATAATACAAAAATTTTCCATAGACTTGCTAATGCTTATAGAAGGAGTAATCACATAGGACGTATACGGATGGAAGGTGTGGAGTTGTGGAGGGAGGAAGAGGTGCGTAGTGGGATCGTTTCTTTTTATAAGAAGCTTTACACAGAACCTTTAGATTGGAGACCCAAGCTTGATGAACTCCCTTTTAAGGCTATTTCTGAGTTGGAGAGAGATGGGCTAGAGCTTCCTTTTACCGAAGAAGTTCTAAAGGCCTTATCCAGTTGTAATGGGGATAAAACTCTGGGGCCTGACGGGTTTACTATGCGTTTTCTGATGGAAAGTTGGGCGGTTGTGAGAAATAAAATAATGAGTACCTTTCAGGAGTTTCATTCTACTGGTGTCTTTGAGAAGTCACTTAATGCATCATTTATTGCCCTCATCCCCAAGAAAGGAAGCGCTTCTGATATTAAGGATTTCCATCCTATTAGCTTAGTGGGTTGTATTTACAAACTCATAACTAAGGTGCTTGCTCAGAGAATGAGAGAAATTATGGATGGGAATATTTCAGACTCCCAGAATGCCTTTGTTGGAGGACGAAAAATTCTTGATTCAGTTTTTATTGCCGGTGAATGTGTAGATTCAAGATTGCACAGTGGTGTTCCTGGAGTTCTGTGCAAACTTGACATTGAGAAAGCTTATGATCATGGAAATTGGAATTTTCTACTCTATTTGCTTCAAAGAATGGAGTTTGGAAGTAGATGGAGGACATGGATTGAGACATGTCTTTCGTCTGTCAAATTCTCAATTCTTGTGAATGATTCTCCTGCTGGCTTCTTCTGGTGCACTCGGGGTATAAGACAAAGTGATCCATTGTCATCTTTTCTTTTTCTTATTGTTATGGAGGGCTTAAGCAGACTTATGCGCAGGGCAGAGGATCTTAGTCTCATTAAGGGATTCCAGGTAGGAAGAGATATTGACCATCAGGTGGAGATTTCTCATTTGCTATTTGCAGGTGACACTCTGGTTTTCTGTGACGCAGATGTGTCTCAACTTAGATATCTGAGGTGCATCCTAGCTTGCTTTCAGGCAGTTTCCGGGCTAAAGGTTAACGTGGCTAAGAGTGTGCTTGTCCCGGTTGGGAATGTTCAGGACATCTCTTCTTTTGCTGTAGTTCTTGGGTGTAAGGTGAGTTCCTTTCCTATTCCTTATTTGGGTTTGCCCCTAGGGGTCTCTTCCAGGACAGTGGGGAGTTGGGATTCTGTGTTTGACAAGTATGCAAAGAGGTTGGTAGGATGGAAGAAGCAATATTTGTCTAAAGGGGGCAAAGTAACTCTTATCAAGAGCACTTTATCAAGCCTTCCCATATATTTTCTTTCTATATTCCAAATTCCATGCTCTGTTGCTGATAGAATTGAAAAAATTCAAAGGAACTTCCTTTGGAGCGGAAGGGGAGAAGAGTTCAAGTCTCACCTTGTTAGGTTAGAGCAAGTATGCAAGCCTATAAAGTTGGATGGTCTTGGTATTAGACGATTGATTCCTTCTAATCAAGCTCTTCTGGGTAAATGGTTGTGGAGATACGGGAAGGAAAGACACCGCCCTTGGCATAGATTAGTCTCTTGTCGATATAAGGAAGACATTGGCGGATGGACTACATGTCCAATTTCTATCGCGGGAGGAGTTGGGGCTTGGAAATCCATTCGGAAGGGATGGGATGCCTTCTCTTCTCATATCAAATTCAGAGTTCGTGATGGTAGCTGCGTTCGTTTTTGGGAAGATCTTTGGTGTGGGGATCAGCCTTTATGTCGTACATTTCCCAGACTATACAGTATTGCAGTTGATAAACATGCCAACGTAGCTGACTGTTATCAGCTTGATAATAGTGGAATTACATGGAATGTTCATTTTCGGCGTTCATTTCAGGACTGGGAGTTGGAAGAGGTGAGCATTTTCTTGGACCAATTGTATGCGCAAGAAAGAATTGGCAGGGGATATGACAATTTGACATGGATTCCCTCTTTTCACGGTGGCTTTGAAGTAAGATCCTTGTTCTTATGTTTGTCTAATTTTGTATCCTATGATTTCCCATGGAAGACCATATGGCGCTCTATGGCTCCTACTAGGGTGGCATTCTTTGTATGGACCGTTGTTTGGGGTAAAATTCTGACGATAGATAATTTAAATAAAAGGGGAAATTGTTTTGTTAATCGGTGTTGCCTATGCAAGCAGGATGGGGAGTCAGTAGATCATCTCCTAATGCATTGCTTTGTAGCGCACGATTGCTGGAATCTTATTCTTGGCCTGTTTGGCATGTGTTGGGTAATGCCACGTTCTACTAAGGAGTTGATTCATGCATGGAGAGGTTGTCGTGTGAGTAGGAGTGTTCGTGATTATTGGAGATCTGTCCCACATTGTGTTTGGTAGTGTATCTGGAAGGAGAGAAATAGTAGAATGTTTGAAGGGAAGGAATCGTCTACAGCGACACTGAAACTTTTTATTATTCGTTCTCTCTTTAGTTATGTGAAGAGGAGTCCTTGTTTCTCTTCTGATGACTTAATTACTTTTTTGGATTCTTTGGGGCCTTAGACCCCGGTTTCTCTAATGTTTATGGGACACGTTCCCCTATTGAACACCTTTTTTAATTCATTATTACTTACCAAAAAAAAAAATGAAAAATGATAAATTACAAAATACCCAATTATTGTATGTGATGTATATGAATATACTAATATATATATATATATGCAATTATGCATATAAAACCTTAATATCAAATCTCTATACGTATTCCCTCTCTCTTAACAAAATTTTTCAAATCCAACCAGTAAGAATACACATTGAATTTAGTATATGTATATTAATATATATATTAGAATTTATAGAGATTACCTATATATGTATATACCAGTCCCATTCTCTGTCAATCTGCTTGAAATAGACATCTTGTTGGATAATCCAATGATTTCACGTGAGGAAAAGGGTGTTAATGTAAGGGGTTGATAAATGATACATGAAACCTCTATGATTTGGATCGTATAGAAAATAATACAATAATTGCTCTGAGCAAGAATCAGAAATGGGATTAAAACTCCTTTCTTTTTTTTTATAAGTAAAAATGTATTAGAATGCGTTCAAAAGGGGAACGCATCCTAAGTCACACAATTCTTCTCAAAGGGTGCCGCTCTCACACTCCAAGCGCGCTCCCGCTTTCACGCTCCACGCACGCTCTCAAAGCTACACAAAGGCCAAGGCCAAAATTTGAAGCACGTATGATGAGTATATGAAGACACTACAATGTCATCCATGGTATCCTCTATTATTCCAGAATGCAATACTAGGAAGACCCAAATGAGGTCTTTCCCCCCAACCCCAACCCATTCCCAGAATCTTTTCTGAGTCATGACCAAGACGAATTCAATCTACTTAATTCCAAACATTTTGGGAAAAAATTGCTTCGGCAAGGACTCATTGAAACACAACAAATTCAATCTGCCAAAAAAAACAAAAACTTGTTTGCAGATGAATTCAACCTACTTCCAAACTCAAACTCTGTACACACACACACACATATATATGTAGATGAATCACAATCCAAGTCCACCCGCACAACACCAGCTAGCAAACCAGAAACACAATCTGATAATTCACCACAAAATGGTGGATGTTGTTTGTGCGGCAGCGGCAACTCATGAAGTTAAGTTTAGAGAGAAGAAAGAAAGATGTTGGTAGTACGGTGGTGTCTACATCTTTGTCATTTTTTTTTTCATTCTCCAATTTTAGATAAATTCAATGACATATTAATGAATTAAGATTGGGTTTTGATTAGAAACTAGAAAGTTCTAGAGAGAAGAGAGAATTTTATAAAGAGGAAAAGATATTCGCATCTTGTTATTTTAGTTTTGATATTTTAAGGGTATTTTGGTAAAATTACACCATTTGTTAGCCTAATTGACGGTCCATTTGTTACAAGGGTGGTCCGTGTTACAAGGTTTGCTTTTGAGGGGAGGTCAATGTAATTTTGAAAACCATAAGGGAGATCGGTGTAATTATGGCAAACCACAGGGAGGTCAGTGTAATTTACCCTTTGTTTTACTATACAAAAGAAAACATTTACTCGAGTGTTAGGATCAGTGGAATTTTTACTTCATTTCATACGTGCCAGCTGTGGCAGGTCAACACCTCATAGTATATGGCAAAACATGTCAATATGGATATTCAAGTTCTTGAGCCTAAACCCGAAAAGAATGTTCCTCATAAATATTTGAGAAGGAATGCCAAAAAATATACTAAAAATCATGTTAATGGGGGTTAACATGCAAGTAAAGTTACATGTATATGTTTCTTACAAGTAAAAATCCGAAAAATATTAAGTCTAATAAAGCTAACAGAACCTCACAATTACTTTGTGCTACTTCCCTTGAAAATTTTCTCAGATGATGAGTAACAACACACATGAGAAAGTAAATTAATGTATATACCTTGCACAATACTTTAGAAAATATTAGATCTATTAGAAACAGAGAGCAAGCTTACAGCATCTTGATCAGATGAATCTAAAAGAAGACTCTCAGCAGCTGATATAATCCCATCTGAGTGGTCCGTACGAATGTTTAACTTCAACAAATCAAGGTTGACATGTACTGGAAAGTATCCAATATCTATGAGTAGATTTACTGCTGAGGTCGCTGATTTAGCCAGTCCCATTGCCTTCAGGATCTGCCAAAAAAAAAAAAAAAATTTATATATATATATATATATATATATATAGGTATCACACAGGTAAAAACTGTCTCTCTCTCTCACACACACACACAAAAAAACATACTAGGTCTGCAGTTGATATGTGTGAACGTGCGTGTGTGGAACATGTAAATAAACAACGGATTTGAAGAACATCATCGCGTTTTATTTCTCTTCCAACAAAATATCCATCCAGCTTAGTTAGTGAAAGATTCATCAGAATACACCATCACCACACAATAACAAGGTCAAGTTGGCAGAAAAGTTACCACCCCTGCTGTTTTCTTTTGGTCATCATTTTTGCATGCATCAATTGCATATGCTTCAAGGGACTTGATTCTGTGTTGAAGTTTCTCTTCAACCTTCCACGACGATTTTGGGGGTTTAGCATTCAAAGGCATTGCCTTAGCAGATTTCAGTAACTGTACAAACTCCTCAAATTCCTTATCAGCGGCCTCTTTAGCAAGCTTCCTTCGTAGGAGTTCTTCTACCTAGATTTTTTCAAACAGATTTAATTCCAGCTTTAAAAACATTAGCAAGAAAGTTAGCTAATTAATATGCATGGACATCCATCATACATCAGCAAGTAATCTCAATAACTTAGAACAAAAAAACAGTGTACTGAGCACCATCAGTATTTCAACCTTTTGTCAACTAACAAAATTGAGTAGAGCATGGGATTTAATTATATTAGGCGTCAACACCCCACCCCACCCCAAAAAAAAAAATGAACTTTAGATGGTTAAAATACTGAAGAAACATTTTATTATACTCAGAATCAGAACCAGCAACCTACAAGCTTTAATCACAAGTAAAAGGGGTTGGTATTATAGATCATATTATGATCAATCAGGGATTAAGTTCTACAATTTGTCCTCCCTCCAACATCACCCTCCATGATGGAGACTATTGTTGTTACAGCTCAACATAAATCTTCCAGTACTACATGTATGGACAATTCTAGTCAATAAGAATTGCTTAAATAACTTTTTCCCAATGTTTGCACTTCCTAATATCCCATTCAATCTTTTAGAGAAACAAAAACAATGAAGCTATCCATATAAAATACACAATTATTGACATCATTTAACGCTCATTAAGGACAGCAAAACTTGTGCACCGGTGGAACCAAGCATGAACCAATTCAACACAACAAACTTTATATCATAAAATATAACACGTACCTGCACAGTAGGTCGAGGCCCATAAGATATATCACAAGAACCTTTGCTCTCCAGCACTGTGAAGTAAATTTCATCTTTTGATAGCAAAAGATGGGCACAATAGCTCTCAAGAGGCTCCGAACTACCAAAAATTATCTGTTAGAATGAGCTAAAGGTCATTAGAGGAACAACAAGATATAACTGTGAAACTTGAAAGTTATACCTCAGCTAATTCTTCAACTGTCACTGTCTTGTTGTTTTCAAGAAGCTCAACCCAAGCAAACTCGAGCAATGTGGGATCCTGCACCAAATAAAAAGTCTAATAAATTTATGAGAGAAAAATCACATATTGTCACTATCCTTTGTACTGCTATGAGAACCAACCAAGTTACTATGAGCTCTCTGAATAAAGTTTGATATCTCTGTGTGGTCAAAATTATCAACACCAGGAACAATGTAAGTAATTTGTTGTGGTTTGATGGAGGTTATGACACCATTCTGCATCAAAGAAACCAAAAATGCAATGAGACTAGCTGATAGCTTTCTAATTATAAAGCAATGCAGGGGGGAAAATGGGTTTCAACACCTAGCGACCTACTCAACATGCCGCAATAGTTGTTTCTACTAGAACCTGATCTGAGACCATCCAGTTCTTCTTGCCATCAGGTTTCTGAGCAACTGCTAGCAACACCCTTTCAGAATCTTTCTTGAATTCCAGCAGCAGCCCTTTCTGCAGTGCTAGCTTTTCAAGTTTATCTACAAGAAGCTCCCCGCTGCTGGTCAATCCCATTCTGCAAGTGATTCAATTACACATATAATTTAAACTCACAACTAAAAAAAAAAAAAGCATAATGTAACAATTTGTCAGGAAAATGTGTTAAATTACGGGCTGGAAATTAGTGTGTTACATTCACCAGTATCTCATGTAGACATCTGACCCTAGGTAGACAATCCACATAAAGCCATTTGAGATTTGGACTTAGCTGTTGTTAAAATATTATTTGCTAAGCACAGCGCATTCTAGGGTTACCGAATGTATGCTGAAAATGTCACAAGACTCACAACCCACCCCGACCCAAGTAGATATTGTCCGCTTTGCACACTCTCCTCTCCGTACTCACAGTTTTCCTCAAAACGTGTCTACGTAGTTAGGGAATGTCCACACAAATAAGTGTCATCAAACCTCTCCCCCCAAGCGATGTCAGATGTCACAATCACTGTCCCAAGGGACCCAACGTCCTCGCTAGCCTGACGCACATGAGCTTGTGCACGTCGCCCATTTCCGGTTAGGGATTGGCTCTGATACCATTTGTCACGACCTACCCCTCTCCTCTCGGTACTCGTGTTTTCCTCAAAATGTGTCTACACAATTAGGGGATGTCCACACATATAAGTATCATCAAACCTCTCTTCGCATAACAACTGGTTTTTCTTGTGATCAAGGGATTTCTTTCTCAACCTGAAGTTTGTTCAGATGTGGAAGAAATACAAGTAGGCATCTCTCTCTCCCTCTCTCAAATCTTATTAAAAATCATGGAAAGATTGGTGAAGTTGCTCCATAGGAAGTTCTTTGCAAATCTGTTTTTTCCTCGTATACCCTTAAGAAACCATTAATAAGATTTGAAATGGAAACCGATGTACTAATCTGTCATCAGATGTGATTCACAGGGTCTGTTAGTCTCGTGTGGTTTTGCCCCTTTCATTTTGAGAATTTTCTGCCTGAACTCGATGCAGACTGGTTGCTTTTGCATTATTGCTTTCACATCTTAACACATGTAAACTTGCAGCTCTAGCGGTTTGGTTATGGATATATCTTTTTCTTTGCAAGGGTGAGTGAGATCGTTCCAATTACTCCTTACTTCATTATCAATCCTGGTTTCATTTTCTAATTTGTCACACTTACTGGAGAACTATATTGCTCTTAACTCATATAGTATTTGCTCTTTTCGCAATTAGACTAGGATTTTCATCCCTCATGGGTCCACTCAATAGGATAGGTTCGATTTTCCACTTGGTACTATTGCTTCATCTTAATCTATTTCTGGCCCACTGAATTTCATTGTAGATAGGCTGAACAGAATCACTAGTCCGCTATACAATTGAAACACCTTTACGAAACTACATATCCATAATTCACATATAGACGAAAGCAGAGCTCTTACACACGCTAAAGTCACAGAGACTATACATACATAAACACATAAATATAAATAAACATGCTTACAAAGAAGTGATATTGTAGAAACATACTTGTTACTCGCACGAACCCTCCTCCTTTTGCGTAAGGCTTCCAGCTCCTCCATGACAGTTGCAACAAGACTTTGAACGGAATATCTTCGAATGCTCCCATGGCCGAATAGATGTCGCTCGGAACGAATAATTGAAAACCTAAACCCTAATTCGGAATGCCTACGATACTGCAAGGACCTGAATTGGTGCAGACGACATCGGAAGACGGCGCTAGGTGGCGATGAAGCAGAGCGGAAGATTGAGCAGCTGTTAGCGGCACGAACTGCCATCGCCACATGCGAGAGCTAGAGATTGAGAATGGCAGCGTTCATGCAGAGAGAAAAAAAATTGTTGGGGAGAGATAGAAAGAGAAGAACCCTATAAAGTTGCTTGAGGATGAGAATCACCGGGGTGGGGGATTTGATTTGGAGAGTTGAGACTCTTGGCTTGTTGTGGATAGAAAGCCTACATTACAAGCTTGTAATACTGTGTTCTCAATTTAAAATACTCCGTAGCTAAATGCCCCTTGTGGGGATTTATTTATTTTTTTTCTTTAGTTTATGATAGGGGTGGTGGACATTAGATCCATAGTGAGCCTGTCGATGGAATTGTTGGACTCATAGATCGAGTGGATTTAATAATGCGAAATGAAATTCATAGTTCACTAATTGCATTACCGATTATGTAGTTATAAATGTGATCCAATTTGTAATTCCATCAAATTCAACCTTTTAGATTTATGATGTATTAGTTAATAATTATTTAGTGACAATATATTAGTTAATCTTTATTTAAATATATGAATTAATGTTAAAAATTTGAAATTTTATTTATTGTGCTATGGTTAAAAAAATAATATTATTGAGCTATTTTGGAAAATATCAATTCGTTCGATTTGTCCGCGAATTGATGACTGATTCGAATTTTCCCAGTATGGTAGGACCGAATTGAATTATAATTAATGTTTAATCCAATCTGATATGTGATCACACTAATGTGTGTGTCACTAGAAAAATAAATAAATATCATTAATATTACGATATATAATATAATTTCATACTTTATGTTATAAGAGTAATACTTATTTTAAGGACAAATTACATTAATTTTTTCATATTAATTTTTTTCGTTCAACGTTTATTATTTTGACTTTTCCTGATTTTGAAAGTAGAGGGAAGTTTTATTATTTTAACCATTATAACTATTGAAACTTTTTTACTATCCAATTTATTTGAATTAAAAACTATAAAAATCTTATTTATAATAGTCAATGAATATATATTTTTAAAAAATGAAAAATATTGAGAAATTTAAAAAACTTTATAATAAAAATTATTATTATTATTATTATTATTATTATTATATATAAAACTATCTAACAACAGCCCAACCCAATTTGATTTTTTTTTTTTTTCTCTCTTTTAAAAATGAAATTAACCCAATCCATTCATTAATTCCAAACCCAATCTCCTGCAATACTATACTTTATGCTCGGTTTGGATGGAATCATTTGGAAGGATAAGAAAATAAAAGAAAATAGATAGCGTGAACTGTGTTTTGGTTGTCTTAACTCTTAAGTGAAAGAAGAAAAAAAAAAAAAAGAAAACAAAGAGCAATGATAGAGAAACTTCTAACGAAAAAAAATATCAAACCTGACATGACTTTTGACAATTCCATTACGTGTAAGACACTAACTTCTTGTCATTACTTGGATCTTCTCTCTCCCACTTTTCCTTTTCCTCTCTCTTTCTCTCGGTTTCTTATATATCCCCTCTCTTTCTCTCGAAATTTAGTGGTCAAATTTCTCCTTTATGACCGATGAACCCAAGAGATAAATTATTGTCTAAAACTGAGAATGAGAATGGTTCAACAGCGTTTGGATTTTAGGTATACATATATTCAAAGTATTCTAGGGAGAATACTCAAAATTTATGTAAGATTACACCTCCAACGAGGTAACGAATATAAATACCTTCTTCTCCTCGCTCATTTTTCAAGATCACCTACTATTCTCTTCTCTTCTTGGCATTCAGAATTCTAATTCATATGTCTTCCGTGAAGAAATATTTCCAATCTCATATGAGAAATATGCACAAGTTTTTTTTTTTTGGTAAGTAAATACGAACAAGAGTTGCCATTACAAGGCATATTGATCTTTTACAGAATGAAAATATATTTAGAGAAGAAAAAAAAAACAGAAACAGGTAAATCTTCTCAAAATTTCTGTTTGATTTTCATGAATATAAAATCTGAATGAAAGAAACAATAGTTGTAGAATTTTTATTTTTTTTTTGGTTTTGTGCTTTTGTCTTTCTTTATTCTTTTTTTTTTCCCCGGTTTTGTGCTTCAATGTTTTTATTTTTTTTTTGTGCTTCTCTATTTTTTATATATTTTTTTGGCTGTATTTTATTTTATTTTTTTGTTTTGTGCTTCTGTGTGGGCAAAAAATGAAAAAGAGAATCAAAGGAGAGAGACAAGACCAAATCGAGAATCAGAGGAGAGAGACAATACCAAAATCGGAGATAAGATTGAATAGAGAAGGAAAATCGAGAATTAGAGGAAGAAGTGGAGAGAGAAACGAAGAAGCAAGAGTATCTCACGTGTTTATGCTTTTAGAAAATAATCTCACGTGGTTGTTTGGTTCGATTATCATATTGAAAAAATAGTAAATAAGTAATACTTTCTTAATTTCAAAATTATCTCAACGACAAAAAAAATAAATATATTATTATACTTAAAAAAATGGTATAATAATAATTTAATTATTATCCTTTCTTTTATTTTCTCTGTACGATCATTTCTTTTCTTTTCTCTCAATTATCTTTTTCAAATAAAAATACTATTATTATTATTATTATTATTTTATCTCTATCACTTTTCAAATAAGAATACTACCATTTTCTTCATTTAATTTGTAATTTAATACTCAGTAGAAATCATTGCTACGTAGTATCATTTATTTTATGTTCTTTTATTTTTCTTTCATAACTAATCATTTATTTTTTTAGAGTCAGTTTGGTGTAATGGAGAAGGGAGGAAAGGAAAGAAAAGGTGATGAAGGGTGATTAAAAAATTATGTTTGGCATGAATGGTTGGAAGGAAAGGGATAATTTTGGAAGGATGATACAGTGAATAAATAGTAACTTTTTTATCCTCCAAAAAATGGGAAGGAAACTTGGAGAGTTGAGAGACTGCCGCTAAAGCTTGCGAACGGCAAACCCGAGTTGGAACAGTGGGCGATGGAAAATTGGAAACTGAAAGATATGGGTTTTGATTTTTTGAACAATTTGAAATGATATGCTGATACAGGTTTTGATATGGTAATAGGTTTTGAACTTTTGATTCTCGCAGACAAATAGATAAAATATATGGGTTTTGAACTTCTGATTTTTGTAAATTTTGTAGTTTGCAGTTGCACAGAGAGAGAGAGAGAGGACAAATTCATTGAAGATGCAAGAAAAATGCTCTCTCAATTTGGAATGAATAATTCTACACTCCAAAAATTTTCTCATTTCCCTTTTTTTTCAGTCTATTTATAGACTGTTACAACCATTCTTAAAGCTTTCTCATTGATTTCCTTGTGATGGGCTGGCCTTTTGAGTTCGCATTAGTTTTGGGCCCATTCCCTTCTGTCTTAGTTCAGGCTTTCAAACTGATCTTCCGATCCTGGTCCTGGTCCTGGGCCTGTTCAGTGTGGACTTGATTCATTTCAGTTGATCTTATCCAACCCGTTCCTAACAAATCCAGGTCATGCCTTGCCCAATCCATTTTTGGTGTCCTCATAAGAGTTGGGAACAAGAATAAAGATGGAGGCGATTAGGGAGGCTAAAATGATTTGCCATAAAAATATTATTTTTATATTAGAAAGTTGAATCTATAGATAAATTTATCTTTTAAAATATAAAAGGTACAATAATAAATTTATTAAAATAATTTTTTTTTCTTTTCTTTTTTCAAATATAATTATTATTCTTTTTTCTTCTTTTCAATCATCAACCAACTACAATTTGTTAAAATTATATTCCCGTTTGGTAGGATTGATTTGGAGGGAGGGAGAGAGAGAGGGAAAAGAGAGGATAAGTTCCTTTCCTTCCCTTCCTTTTATTAAGGCTCAGTTTGGTAGAGTGGGTTTGAAGAGAAAGGGAAGGGAAGGTGATGGAGGGTTATAAAAAAATTGTATATGGGTAAAATTGGTGGAAGGGAAGGAAAGGAGAGGGAAGGGTTTGGAGGGTTAAGGCAAGGCTTGAACAGTAGATTTGTTAACCTCTCAAAAATGGGTGGAAACGGAAAGAAAGGGTAGGCAATGGCACATGTGATACTTGTGATGTCAATTTTACCCACACAAAATCAAGGATTTAGTTAAGCAAAACAAGAATTATAGACCTTGATTGGTTGATTTAGCAAAACAAAACCCATACATATAAGTTAGCCGTTACAGAGAGAGAGAGAGGGTGGGGAAGCTTACAACGGCTGAAACTTGCGTACATCGAACCCGAATTGGAACAGCCGGCGATGGAAACGGCGAACCCGAACTGAAACAGCAGGCAAGGGAAACTGAAAGATATGGGTTTTGATTTTTGGAACAATCTGAAATAATATGCCGATATAGGTTTTGAACCTTTGATTCTTGCAGACGATGGATAAACATATGGGTTTGGAACTTAAATTGTTGTAATTTTGTGGTTTGCAGTTGCAGAAGAGAGGGAGAGTGTTGCAGAGAAAGAACGAGAATAGAGATGGAGGCGGGACCCAAAAATATTAACCCTAAAAATATTATATTTATATTTCATATTTTTCTTTTTTTTTTTTTTCAAATATTACATACTTAAGTTTATTAATTTTTATTTTAAATTATAAAAAGGTATAATAATAAATTTACTAAAATACTTTTCTCCTATCTTTCTCCAAACATAATTATTACCCTTGCTTTTCTTTTTCTACCCTAATCAACAAAACACAATATCAAATTAAAATTATAGTTCTCTTCCATTCTCTCCTACCTAATCTTATCCTTCTCATTTCTTCCCTTTCCCACCCATTATGCCGTCAAACCAAGACCCTAGCCCCTCAAGCGACCAACATTGCAGCGTTATCTCAAGCTCAGGTCTGTGCTCTCTCTCTCTCATTTTCCTTTCATCTGCTGTCACTACTCTGCTAGAATAATCTATCACACGAAGGAACCACCGCAGTATATACTCTAAAACACTTAATGGAAGGAATCTATGTATATACACCCAACATCCCGATTTCAACTGTGCGAAATTTGGGAAATCAAGAACTGAAGATCGATTTGGAATCCAATATCACTGGGTGTATATACATAAATTTAGATATATTGTTTTATTTATTGGTATAAATAATCAATTTGAACACTAAGGAAATAATTATTTTTTCCTTTCATTGTGATGCAAAATTGAAAGAAAAAATTGAAGTAGAACGGTGTCACAACATTTTCATAACTACTATATGAACTGGGTTGGTCTT